AGACCTTGACTGCTACTTCTACCATGGAAGCTTAGTTTGTCTCCTGTTTTGAGGCTACTTCACATGGTGTATGGCTTAAGAGTTTCATTTCTGGGCTTAGAATCATGGATTCTATTTCTAAGCTATTAAAAATTTTCTGTGACAATTCAGCTATTGTCTTTATGGCTAAAAACAATAAAAGTCGAAGTCGAAGTAAACATATCGACATTAAGTATTTAGCCATAAGAGAACATGTAAAAGAAAAGAAAGTGGTCATTGATCATATTAGCACTGAATTAATGATTGCTGATCCTTTGACTAAAGGTATGCCACCTCTGAAATTCAAGGATCATGTAGAGAAAATGGGACTTGGTTCCACTTTATAATGATATTGAAACTCTTATATATTGTGAAATTTTCTCATTCATGTGCATATTATTTTGAGAAAATATATTGTTACTGGACCAAAAATAAACATAAGGTTTATTCATTAAGTAATATTACCACATTAAGATTAAGAAACTAAATACATCGTGATACATGGATGATAATACTCGCTCTTAGAGGACTTATCGCTATGATTCATGTATTTATTTCTTAAGAAAGTTGTTCGAGAAAGATTAATTCAAATTATTAAGATAAACGTATAGACCAAGTGGGAGAATGAACCGTTATTATTAAATATCTAATTTAATAATAATATAACTGTTCTCATTAAGATTCATAATTCATTATCATGAATTTTTCATTTATTATGATTTAAATGATTTCAGTTTTTTATTCTTTATACATGAAATCGTTATTATTAAATTAAATATTTAATATCATTAAAGTTCTTCGTTATGGTCCAAACGTTACAAATTTGAATTAATTCTTTAATATTATGAATTGGTGATGATAAATGTTTTTGATGTGAGAACATCTATATATATGAGGATTTTGGTCCCTGGGTTCAATCATCTCTTTGAAGCAAAAAGGCTTTCCTACACCATCTAAAGCGAGAGTTCTGAGCCGAGAAATGTCAAAGTTCAAGAAAAAACCTACAATGACTGGTGGTTCGCTATTTTATTTTCGCATCATTTTTTATTATGTTTCTATTATAATGATTTAGAAATACAAGTTGGTTTTAATGATTTCTTACAATCAAATCTTCGAAAAAGATTTTTCAAAAACGATAGTGGGGTAGAGAAGGAACTTACCAATTAATTAAGACGCTATGATTTATGCCAAAATTATAATATTTCTTCATCAAACTAAACAAAATCCAGTAAGAAAGTTCTGATACGTTCCGATGACAAAGCGTGGGAGAGAGGGATCTGTCAATAGAGATTAAAAAAAGAAAAGGGTTCAAGCAACAATAGAGTCCGTCCCAATATACCTTGCGGAGCATTGAGGAGGAACCCTTCGTGCCAGGATCTGGTGGCAGGAACAGTGAGGGGGAGACAGAAGTGCGGCGACGGGAGGGAGGCATCGGTCTTAGGGTTCTGATAACCAATTCACTCGATTGCTTCAAAGCTGTGAATCATCCCTTTACAACAACCTAGTAATGTTCAATGTAACCAGGCTTGATTGGTTCAATCCATCAAGTAACCATCCAAGCTTAATAAATAAACCTTTAATTAGTGGGGACCTCAATTTCTACCATAGGCTTAAAGTTGACTTGGGGAGACTTCCTAAACTTCCCTTCATTTTAATTAATCGAAACCTTGATTTCTGATTTCTAAAACATTTAATTCTACAAAATTTCCAAAGAAGACTAACTGAGAGAAATATATGATTTTTTAATAAGAGCAAAATTCCAACGCATCTTTAAGCCTGTGAAACTAAGTTCGATGTATGGCAAAAGCTTGTTGTCGAGTCCACCAAACACCTGCACCGTCAATGCAAACGACTTCTACTGTTACAACTCATAGCCAACGAACGAGTAAAGAAAGCAAACGGCTCACAGGCCATTATCGAGATCGACGGCGAGGATCTTGAGGAGGGCGTCAAAGCTAATCCCATCGCTGCCGCCCATCCGTATCATCGTCCAGATATCATCGTCGCTGGCCGGCAGCCCAGCCATCTTCAGGTACGCCTTCAGGTCCCCGAACCCCACCTTCCCGTCCCCATCACGATCCATCACGCGGAACGCCTCCGCCATGACGCCGTCCCCGCCGCGGGGGCGGCCAAGGACGCGCTCGAACTCCTCGAACTCCACGAGCCCGTCGCGGTCGGCGTCGGCGGCGGAGATCATGGAACCGATGTCCTCGTCCGAGAGGGCCGCGGCGACGCCGGAAGAGAAGAAGGCCTTGAGGTCGTCTTGGCTTATCTTGCCGTCGCGGTCGGCGTCGAGGACGTCGAACGCCGGCCGGAGGGGACCCGGGGCTAGGCCGCGGCCGGCGGGGCACATTCTTCTCACGGTTTTTGGAGTGAGAACGGAAGAAGAGTCTCCGGGAGGCAGGGAGGAAGCACTAAGATGGGCAGGAAGAGGACGCGAGAGGGCAGGGTGGGCGGGCGGGCGATTTATAGAAGGTTCGTGCGGTTGTGGGGTTCGTGGTGGCTTGGCGACCACGGAACCGGCCGGTCCAACGCGGGAGACGTATTGGGTGACGTCATTGGTGATTCGGAACAGACCCCTTTCAAAGCATCGGAATCAATTAGCGTTGGCTTCGGACAGAATCCGGTTCAACGGTCGATAGCTCAGGGAACGTTGTGAATGGAACACCACTAGTTTTGTAATGGTGATTATAAGGAAGATTTTAGCTCTTTATATATAAATTAAAAATTTTAAGTATATTTTGGTATTTGTAAAAAACGAGATTAAAAAAGATTGAAAATAATTCTCGTATCTTCTATAGCCACTAGCATATCTTACGTGACAGTAGACAGTAAAGTCTAGGATAAATAATTAATCGATCTTATTCATTTCTTAAGGAATTATATAATAAATAAATTTTTATTGATTGATAACCATAATTAAAATCTAATCAGATATATAATATTTTTTTTTTAATTAAATATGATCATATAATCTAATAACGTGATCCTAACCGACAATCCGATAACATATTATACTTATCTGATCGATATGTTAATTTGATCCTAATCTCATGAAGATAATAACATGGTGTCAACGTGAATACTAGCTTGGACATTGACTCAATAATGGGAGCTAGCAATCATGAGTTTAAACAAAAAAAAATGTTACCTTATAAACCTCATTGATTCGACATAGTCTTATGGCTCATAGATGGTTAGATGATTTGTCTTATCATTCCCAATATTTTTCATGGCCTCTCCAACATATTATAAAAGCTCATTTGTTTCTAAAGGATAATCTCTCTCTTATTGATTTCATTGAATCGTATGAATCTCTTATCAACTAATATTGAAAAAATTTTATTGAGTACACTCCATATATAATTTTTGTAGGGTCTTGGTTTGAATCCCTAACTTAATGACACCTCAAGCTTGAGATAAACTTAGAAATGGATCTCTATTATCTCCAAACCCAATCTTCGTCACTCATCACATATGGCATGCCTACAACACCTTCATCAATAGATCGATAGTTAATTATACTTGTTTATACAATTGTTTGACAGTATGTTTTGTCTAGTTTTTTTTTTTCATGATTTTTGTAAACAAAAATAGTTTATGAAACTACATAATAACTACTTACTAAATTAGGCAATACTATTTTAAAATAACCTACTTTTCATGTGCCATGGTATATTTTTTTACAAGCTATGGTGCTATATAAAATGATAATTATCTTAGACCCTTAGAACCACTTAGGTGGCACTAGACTACATGAGACTTTAGGATAGTGTTGGGCTTTGTTTGGATAAATAAGTTTGTAGACAAAGTATATGTAGACTTGTCTTACACCCAAGATCTTTAAAATCTTTTAAAATATGTGTTGAGCGATCATTTATGGACTAACGATTATTTATCTTTTAAAATCTTTATTTTATCTTTTTTTTATTATGCACCTAGTATTTACTAAATTGCTCATAAGCTATCTTTTTTATAAGATGTTAAGACTTATTTATTGCTCTTTTTTAAACTATAATTAATTTTTTTAAAAAATGATCATTTGGATCTATACAAGATTACTTCTAAACGGACTCTTTTGCAGATGAATATTACATGAGTACCTCACAACCTAGACAATTTAAGTTAAACTCATGATATATTCAATATTAGTTGAATCTATATTTGCACTAGTATTATTTAAAAATATATTATGATGCTAAAAATATTTTATAATTATATAAATATATTACCAAATCAAACTAATATAATCATGGTTAGTATTTGAAGGAATGAATATTATCTCCTGTTTAATGAGAAAAAAAATATTTTTTAATTTGTTAAAAATGAGGACCGGGAGACTCTCGTTAACGAATGTAGGACTTTGAATAATTAAAAATTAATATGTAAAAAAGTGTAATTAAGGTGAAAAGTGTCCTGTCAAAATGATATAACATAATGAAAGTGAAATGTGTCGAAGTAGCTTTACGGATTATAGCCTAACATTATATAAGAATAATATAATTTTTTTTATTTGATGAAAGTTATTATTGATTACGAACTTCAATAATAAATATTCAAAAGATACAGAAATATCCGACAAATCTGAATTAGCTGGCAAAAAACCTGATGGATGGTTAAGTCCCAAAAAAAAAAATAAAAAAAATAAAATGAGGACTCTTCTTTTTTATTTTTATATAAATACGAAAGTCAAATGGATTTAGGAATTTTGTTTGGTTGGTTGGACGTGGGTCATGCATGGTACGCTGGGAAATGTATAATAAGTGGACCGGTCCATTTGGACTTCACTTTTGACTTTGAGCCTTCTCATCCACCTGTCGTGTCACTTCCGTAAATTAGTACGACCACATAACCCGACTCTTCAATCCTTTCAAACCCTAATTTCTGGACTCAAAGATCTATATATATATATATATATATATATATATATATATATATATATATATATATATATATATATATATGTATTTGTAGATGGGGATCGGGAGATGTGAGAAGGGCCTCAGCTAGGTTGCAGCGAGCGGCAAGCAGTGACCAGAGCTCCTCTGTACCTCGTTTTGCTTTATTTTTTATTTATTTTTATTTTTGGCTACAGAGATGGTAATACTGCTCTTCCTGTAGGAGAGAGAGAGAGAACGAGCAAGTGGCCTTCTGATTGCCAATCTCTATGTGTACGATCGAGGAGGTTGGCTTTTCGAGAGGGCTAAATTGGCTTCGCGAGGAGATGCTGAGTGGCTTCGCCCCCTTTGTTCCGCAAGGTGCAGCGAATAATTTCTCCGAAATTTGTCATTCCCCCTCGCTCTTTCATCGTCAAGATTGGATTTTTCTTCCTTTTTGTCATCTCTTCTCTCAACGATTGGTGTTATTGGGTCCGATGATGGCATGGAATCTTTGAGACCTGATCTTTTTCATCTTGGTGAAAACCATAAGCATGTTTCTGAGGACCCACTCCTGTATGTTCAATTTTTTTTTGTTTTTTTGTTTTCTCGTTTATACTGGATGATGAAATGCACTGGGCTCCGACCAGTTCTTCTGTTGTTTTGAAGGAAATGCACTTGCGTAGAATGCCTTGGCTGACTTCCTCTCCTCTCCTCCCAATTACAACATAATCTTTATTTTGTTATAATTTCTGACACCTTTGTTCACCATTATCTTGTTATGATTTCCAAACTATCTTACCATCATGATCTAATTAAATCTGCACTGCTACATGATCTTTGCTTTTCTCTCTTTATAAGAAGATGGGAAGGAGTGAAATATATTGAAGGGTTTTATAAAAAAAAAAATATATATAGAGTCGTATAGGAAGGTCTAACTCATTATTCTCAAAAAAAAAAAAAAAAAATGGATTCAAAATCTATGCTTTCAAGACTTATTAAACGTAGTGATCGACGTTGAATCTCGAATTTTGATGATGAAATCAATTAGTGAATTGTTTGACCTAATTTATGTGTTGAGATAAGTGTATAGGATAAACTACGATAGCAGTAAGACATAAAGTAGATGATGGGCCGAAGTTGAAGATTCGGACGATGTACCAGAAGTGTATCGGGAGCTCGTCGAGAGTTCATCGGAAGTTCGTCAGAGGCTCATCGGAAGATCACCGAGAGCTCGTTGGAAGATTGCCGAGAGCTCGTCGGAAGTTTCGTTGAGAAGTTCGCAGGAGGTTCGCTAAAAGAAAATTCGACATACCGGACTAATTGCTTGCCTTAATCGTAGTTAGAATATTAGTTGAGTTAGGATCGGGAGGTAATCCCACTAACTCGGTCAGGGTCAATTAGGCCCTTAATACGGCTGAGTTTGGTCAGATTGAACAACCCATTCAGCACTTGAAATCACGGCTGGCGATGGCATCGCCTAGCAGACCCGATCTCCCAAGTGTTCTGGGCGATGGTACCATTGGCAGTTAATGCTACCAGCAGTGGTAGCACCCCTATCAGGCGGTCGTACCACCCAGTGTCAAGTGTCAAGCCATGGTATCGCCTAATAATGGCAGTGGTACCATCAGTACCCCGAAAAACTTGGATGAGACACTTTTTGGCTCTAATTTTGAATCCATTGGAGCCTATAAATACCTCACCCTTTTCTGTATGAAAGGGTACGAAAGAATTGACATAATATTGAATTTTTGAAGTGTTAAAGTGTTGTAAAAGTGCTTGAGTCCTCCTCCTCCTTTTCTAAGTATTGAGATCATTCAAGAGAGGTGTGAGACTTGTAAGGATTATCTCCTACACCCATGAAAAGGAGAAAGCGCTGTAAAAAGATGGTTGGTCTTCGCCTATTGAAGAAGACCATTAGTGGACGCCGGTGACCTCGACGGAGGAGGAATCGGAAGTGGATGTAGGTCATAACGATCGAACCACTTTAAATTCTGGTTTGTTTTTTTATTTGTGCAATTTACATTACTACAAACTTCCTTAACCTTCTCTTTGCACTGTTACAAAAGCTTTCAAGTTCAATTTCTTTCTAAAACGGATTGAATCGAAACGAATATTTTTCGGAATCAACGTTTTGTTTGCTGCACTAATTCACCCCTCCCCTCTTAGTGCCACTCTTGATCCTAACAATTTGTATCAGAGCCCGGTTACTCTCATTTGGTTTGAAACCCAATAGATGACATTTTCCAGCAACCAAGAGAGCCACTCAATTACACGTCCGCCCATGTTCAATAGAACATATTACACATATTGGAAGATTATAATAAGGATTTTTCTGATTTCTATGAATTTTGAGCTATGGAACATTGTCGAAAATGGTTTTCAAAAGTCTTCTCTTCTAATGAACGATTGGAATGACTTGGAGAAGAAGACTTTCGCTTTAAACGATAAGGCTATAAATGTCTTGTTTTGTGTTTTAGATAAAAACGAGCTCAATCGAGTGTCTATTTGTGAAATAGCTCTTGATATTTGGCACACACTAGAAGTTACTCACGAAAGCATTAGTAGAGTAAACGAGTCAAAAATTAATCTTTTAGTCCATACTTATGAGTTGTTTCGGATGAAACCGAGTGAGACCATTGGAGACATATACACCCGATTTACAGATGTCGTCAATGGTCTAAAAGGACTTGGTAAAAGTTTCTCGGATTATGAACTTGTTAATAAAATTTTAAGATCTCTTCCAAAGAGTTGGGACTCTAAAGTAACGATCATTTAAGAAGCCAAGGACTTAAATAACTTTCCTCTCGAAGAACAAATCGGGTCACTAATGACCTATGAGATGACTTGTAATACTCATGAAGAGCTTGAGAATAACCAAGAACATAAAGGATATGACACTAAGAACTCAAGAAGACCACTTGAAAGAAAATTCAAAGGATATGACTTGGCACTCTTGACAAGAAAGTTCAAAAAATTTATAAAAAATAATAAATTTAAAAATGATTCTAAAAATAAATTTGAACCCAAGTTATATGCTACGAATGCAAAAAGCCGGGATATTTCAAAAGCGAATGTCTTAAAGCAAAGAAAAAGTAACCAAAGAAGAAGAATGCTCTTAAAGCAACTTGGGACGATTCAAGTGCATCCAGAGAAGAGGAGCCAATCAATACCAAGCAAGTTGCTCACTATGTACTAATGGCTATTGGAGATGAGGTAAGCATTTCATTAGATGCAAATTTATCTTTTGATGAACTACTAAGTATTTTTCATTATTTATTTGATGAATGTAAATTAGTTAGTAAAATATATAAATTATTGAAAAAAGAGCATGCTTCTCTTGTTAGTGATTTTGATAGACTAAAGATCGAGCATGATGATAGTTTAGCTCCTTGCACAAAATGTAATGAATTAGAAATGCTTAAAAAGGAAAACTTGCTACTTAAATAAACTTAGAAAAGTTTGAGGTTTATAGCAAGTCCTTGAACATGATCCTTGCTAAAAAGGGTCACATTCATAGAAGAGGTGGAATCGGATTTATGAGTGACTCTCACCAAAATCTAAATGTCTTTGTTAAAGGTCCTATCTTGCATGTATCACCCCACACCAAATGCAACTTTTGTTGTAAACTTAGATATGTTGCCTATAAATGTACACTTAAGAGATATAGTCCACATAAATTCATTTGGGTTTCTAACTAAACCTCAAATGACTCAATGTAAGATGATAAGTTGTGTAGATCGATTTTTGAGGCACCCAAGGTCAAATGGGTACCTAAAAATCACCCTTTTTTATAAAAATGTTTATCATCACAAGCTAGGAGCAAGAGATGGTATCTTGATAGTGGATGCTTAAGGCATATGACTGGAGATCCATCTCACTTCTCTAAGCTCACTAGCCTAAACGAAAGGTATGTCACCTTCGGAGACAACAAGGGTAAAATCATTGGCAAAGGAGCCATAGGTAAGAAATCTAACTTTTTGATTGAAGATGTATTGTTGGTTGATGGCTTAAAGCATAATCTTGTTGAATCTCATATTTTGATGATGAAACCAATTGATAGTATTTATGATTTGATCTGCGTTTCGAGTGACGTAGGATGCTTCGATCTGGGAGAGACAATTAAAGTAGGAAGAATCATGTTGGGCCAGAGGAAAACGTGTTAGAAGATTGGACGTCGGACTGGAGGATCGGTCGACGTATCGACAGAAGGCTTCGGGCCATAGATTCAGGCATCAGGCCAAGAAGAGCGGATATCACATAAAGGATATCGGAGTTGCGGAGATCAACTAGCCGATTGGGCAATAGGCCGTAAGATCGGAAGATACGCCGAAGAATCAGACGAAGCGTCGATGGACCAATGACATTCCAGACAACATGATTCATGCATAGTAAATATTATCTAGATCGAAGTGTGTTTTTGTGTGTACAGGATTAACTATGATAACAAGGCATAAAGCAAAATGAAGTCCTGGAGCCAAGAATACGATTTCGTTGGGAGTTTGAGAGTTCGTTGGAAGTCCGGACGTTCGTCGGAAGTTTTGTCGTAACCAACCGAGAAGTCCAGGAGCTTGCTAAAGAAGCTTGTCGGAACTCGCCAAGAAGATCCTATCAACTCTGTTAGGGGCCAACTGGGCCCGAAGTTGGGTTGGTTTGGGCCAGGTTCAAGGCCCAACCAGGGTGTTGAAACCCTAGTCGGTGGTGGTACCGCATGGGGAACAACACCCCAGGTATTCTGGACGGTGGTACCGTCGGCAGTAATGCTGCCAGAGGTGATACCGCACCTGTCAGGCAATGGTACCGCCCCTGTCAAGCGGTGGTACCGCCCAGTGGCAAATCTTACGACAGTAATACCGCCCAAGAACGACGATGGTACCGCTAGTACCCAGGAAACCTAGGATGAGACCTTTTTAGGCTTCAAGTTTGAATTAACTTAAAGTTTATAAATACCCATCTCGTCCCTCGTTATCACACATAAGCACAAAGAGTTTAAAAGTGAGAAAACGCTGTAGAAATCTCTTGAGAAATCCCCTCATCTAGCTTAAACTTAGAATTCTGTTTAGAGAGGAGTGTGTGCTTGTAAAGGTTATCTCCTAAACTTGTGAAACTGAGAAGAGGAGTGTAAAGAGGTTGATATTCGTCTATTAAAGGAAGATCGATAGTGGATGTCGGTGGCCTCAACGGAAGAGGAATCAATGGAGTAGATGCCGGTCACGACGACCGAACCACTATAAAAATTTGGTTTGATTTTCTTTTGTGCAACTTACCTTACTGCAAACCTCCTTACTTGCTTACTGCTTTCAACATGTTTACGAATACGCTTTCAAGTTGAATAAGTTTTCGAAATCGGTTTTATCGTACGAAACAAAAGAAATTTTCAAAACCGACGTGATTTTACCGTTGCACTAATTCACCCCCCCTCTTAATACCGACTCGTTCCTAACAGTTGGTATCAAAGCCTCGAATTTCTCATTTGGTTTAACACCCAAGAGAAATGGATCTTTTCGGCTTTCAATAGGGTCACTATCTCATTTGTCGTCCCTTGTTCAATGGGACAGACTATACATATTGGAAAACTCGAATGAGAGTTTTTTTACTTTCCTTGGATTTAAATTTATGGAATATTATTGAAAACGATTTTCGAATGTCTTCTCTT